TTTGTTTAATTAACATTTGATCTCTTTTGCTATAAATAATTTAGGATTGATAAAAATATGCTGAACATTTCTATCCAACTTAATTATTCTGGTTCTTTCCTTTATTCTACGATAAATTAAACAAATTTTAGGAAAATTTTTAATAATAAAATTTTATTCTGGACTACTATATGATTTTACGAGAACGTGGTATTCTATTTCGGAGATTACCGAAACGAAATAGAGTTCAAACCATTTTGGATTATCTTGGATTTGTCGATGTTCTGGAGATTTTGCAAGTTCGATTACATCTGTCGAAGTAACTATTATGTGACGAGGAAAGAAAATAGAATGATAAAGTAGATCGTGTCTCAACTCGTACATAACTTCCACTGAAACTTAGGTGTGTAATTCTAGAAATGGAAGCGTATATTTCTAGAATTTCTGTACTTTTGCAATTACTATTCCCTGAAATGTATAGGATATGAATATTTCATATAATTTGTGTTATGACTCGTATACTTCCTCAGATACTTGAGCAGGGTTTACGAAAATTCCTTATTTACAGATCTCGTATAATTTTGCATCTAATTTGAAGCACTGTAGTGTAGAAAACCTTCCTTTTGCGGCAATTCCGTCGAGAAAATATTTATCGTGTCTCGATCGGGGAGAGCGCTTTGTGCCCCATTCACGTCGATCGTCGTTAATTGAGAAGACTAGCTTCGTAGCTTCCCGACACTATTTATCGTTTCTTCCAGCAGCCAGAGGCGGCAGATGCTCCTGCCTATCTGAAACGACCTTTTGGGACCCTTTGGAACAGATTCGTCCTATGCTCGCCCTCGACGACACTTTAGGGACGCTTTTTCACGAATCGCCGCCGCCGTTTTCTTGGCTCGTTCGTTACAGATTAAAACCGATCGAACGCGACTAGTCGTGAACTTTGCGGCTCGCGCTTGTAACTCTAAAAGCTGACCTTTCGGTCCTCTTTTGTGAAACGATTCCTAGTACAAGAATCGCATAATCCTCTTTGCCGGTTTAACTGGGTTTGCGAGTTTTATTCCCGTCATACCATCATACCTTTTTTTTTACAGTGAAACCAAATGCTTCCATCAGTTTGCTATGTGCTCTACAAAGCCGGCGGGCTCTAATTCTTTGCGTTGAAACTCGGTTAACGAAACAATTCGGATAGCGTTGTTCTGTGTAACGCAAAATAATCCGAATCGTGTCGGAATGCAATTGCGACGCGCAGATTATGTTTTTTTTTATGCTGACAGCGATTGACATGTAGTTAAATATTTATCTCGACGACCTAAATGTGTAATTCGACATACGCGTCCGGCGAAATAATGTGCTGCAAATTTCGAGAGGAATAATTATTATAACAAAATTATTATTTAATGTTTGCATTTTACGTAATATGCACAATAAAAAAGAAAATGTTAATTTTAACGTTTTTTACATGTCCCAGGAGATCCACTCTAAATTTTAAGTTAAAGTAACTCATTCGCCTTGTGTTATTTATTAGCGAACTAGTAATGTTAAATAATTGACACGATACTTTACATTTATATTTGTTATTTTGACTTTAAGGGTGATTTAAAACTAACATACAAAATATGTCTTGTAGGTCGGCGCAGACAATTCTCGTGCCTGCGCCGTGGTTTCGCGTGAGCGTTTTTATTCTTTCTCAACACACAGTAATCACAGCACAGTTTGTTGGTTAAGCGTTTATTATAGTTTCACAGTAAGTATTCATCACAGTTTCGCATTAAGCGTTTATTACACGTAACGATTATCCCTTTGACACATGTCTCGATATGGTACGACGATATGATCCAGAAATGGATCGCACTCGCGTGGCAACGTCTCGGGGTTAAACCATGAGCCGCTTCGTGACTACGCTTGAGGAAGACACCCTGTGCTCTCTTAGAGCAACGCCTAGGGAATGTCCCCTTGACTTATGGAGGACCAGCAACAACGTCGCTGCCTCGAAAAGAGCGTTCTCGCAGATGGACCTTTCGTATCGACTCGAATGTTAGCTCGCGTGCTTCGAAAAGACTGACTAAACGGAAAAACTTTCTGTGGATATTCCGCGAGGCCCGATCTCCTCTATTCCCCACCGAACATATCCGAATTTGATTGGATCAGTGATCTAAAGGATGGTGATATCGCGGTCTTGCCTTTCGGCGCGGATAAAAGAAGAGAACGGAATCTTTGATGACGGCGAAGTTAAGTACACAAGCGCCGCGTTCCTCTTTCTTTCCGCCGCTAACTCGCTCGCATTGATGTGTGTGTATGTGTGTGTGTGTATGTGTCGATGCGAGAACCGTCTCTTTTTCTTTTTCGCGTGTGTGATGCATCACCTTTCTAGTCTACGCATAACAAAATAAGTAGAGTACATAGAAGAGTAGTTGCAGTAACTCGTAAGAAAATGTTAATAAAACATTTTGATTATTTTAAGATTTACTTTAATTTTTCTTAGATGTTAAATTGACTTTGAGCTATATAGATTAAATGAAACAATTGTGTTAAAAACACTCAAAATAATATTCTATTTTTAATTGACATACGCAATTGTTAAGTTAGAAACGTAACATGAATCTAACACATCAAAATGTTACAAAAATAATAACATATCAGTTGTATGTTTATTTTACATTGAAGTAATAATCAAAATGTGGTAACACAAGAAAATTTTAACACATGGATGGATGATTTTTTATTGTGTGTACGTTATAATCTCTTTTTATTATTATCACATCCTTCTTTCGACATCGGGTTTTTCGAGGACTTCATATAAACGGTCTTCGATTTATAAAGATATTTTTTTTAAATGGCCTATGAATTTTTTTTTTTAATTTAACTTCATTGTTCACATCGCGTGTTTGTCCACAATCCGTTGGTTGCGAATGTATTCATCAGGCCAACGTGATGGCGAGAACAACGGAGCTTATTATTAAGGCGCTTAAAGCCTGCATCAGACTACGAATTACTAAAGTTCTAGAAAACCAGAGATTTATCATAAAAGGATGATTAGATTGGCTGTTTAAAGAGTCTAAAACATATGGTCGGATTGATTACCGTATATAGTAAAGAAAAAAAATAGCACTGTGATCACGTGATTTAGTAGACAATCAGTATATTTATATTGGAAAAAATGACAGCGGCTAACCTAATCTAGAATCCCTAGAAAACAAAGTCTGACCATCGCTTAGATCCTTGTAGTGATTCGGCCTCCATTTGGACGAGACGAGACTAGTTCAAATCTCGTTTCGGTCTCGATTTGGCCTCGAAATTTTCAGTCTCTTCTCGGTATCGGCTTGGTCTCGACAATGACAATCTCGTCTCGGTCTTTTACTCAATATCCTCATTGTGTATTACCTAATATACATAAAAAAAAACATACAAAATATAACGGAAATAAAACTTTAATTCTCCTGTTAATATAGAAAAATGATCATCAATTACCAAAATACATCGTGATCGAAAGGAAAAAAATTTTCAAAAATTCATATTATCATAGATGAAGTTTGTTGAATAAAATGTCAGATTAATCCTATAAACTACTACAAGTTAACCAGAAAATGAAAACCCGGACCTGTAAATTGTTAGTTACGGTTCCTGGGTGCCTGATTTTATTTGAACCATTCCGGGCTCACTGCGTCGTGATTGGCTGAAATAGAATTAGGCAACCAGGAACTGCAACCGGTAATTCGTAGTCTGATATGGGCTTTATAGTAGTTGGGACAACTCGCGCGCGGTGGTTGCGGACCACGCGCGACTTGTCTCAATTTACAGGAACGACGCTGGCATTCCGGCGGCCGACGGCGGCGCTAATTTATATTAATTTTAGACATGGTATATATCTGAATTAACGTGCACTGGCCAGCGCTCTCGTACTGCTTTTTCAGCATTCCTGCGCGGGACGGACGGAAAGCGCTCTCCGAGTTCTCTCAGCGCCGAAATTCGTGGGACGAGTATTCGGCGAGACCGCCCGCAGAAATAAATCGACGAGAACATCCCTGTCAAAGGGAGACGCCGCGACTTCTGGAATTAAACACAACTGTACTTGTGTCTTTTATTAATATACGCCACTTCCAATTAATTTCTTTTCTTAGATAGAGCATAGCTGGAGAATTGAAAAAATCCTCGGGGAAAAAACAAAATTGAGCTATGTGAATTATTGAGCATCGATAATACATTATTCACGAGGCGCAATTGTAGTTGAATTTACGATTTCCCGGGCAATCGAACCCAACTTAATTATGTAACACAGAGAGATTTGTATCATTTCCCGAAGGATTTCATTAAATATTCTGCGAAACAAGAAGCGATCGACACGAGTTGTTGAGAATTACGGCAATTAACCCTTATTATTCGTGCTGTAATTGAGTGGACGAATTGTGCTGAACGGATTGAACATTTCTGTAAAAACAAGATCGTCGGTAGTCCGTTGATTCGTAATTACTTAATATCCTCATTGTGTAATACACATTAAAAAAAAAACATACAAAATATAACGGAAATAAAAACTTTAATTCTCCTGTTAATATAGAAAAATGATCATATAAATTATCAAAATATATCGTGCTCGAAAGGAAAAAAATTTTTACAAATTCATATTTTTAAATTGATAGCCAAGCGTTTTTATTCATTAATAAAAATATAATAATAATAAATATGTAAAGGGGCTGTTGTGAAAAATATTATGCGCTTTATAATCGTTATGACATAGAATTACAGAATTGTGTTTTACGATATTGAAGTTGTTTGATCTCCGCTGAATGCGTTTTTATGCCGGGGGTTCGTGCTGCCGCACGTGCGCGATTGATTTGCATAGCGGTGCAACGGGGTGCAATGGTATCGAGCGAAAGGCTACACGATGGCACAGTGGCACCCGTGCGAATCGATGGACTCGGTATATGCGAGCGAGGCGCGTGCAGCATTAACGCATCCGCGAACGCATGCAAATTTCTGTCGACACGCTCACTGAGGGACGTCTCTGTTCTGTCTGCTTGCAGATCCCTGCTTCCGCATCCGTCCCGCCGCGCCGGGCGTGTCAGCGTTTCGCCGCCACATCCACAATGGCCGTCTGTTTATGGTGAGTGTGTGCGTTACGGTAGTATTAATTTGCGCGACGTTTCTGACGGATGATCAATTCTCCATCGCACGCTCAAAATATTCAACTAAAATAGATTACGATCGAAATGTACGCCATCAAGTGTACGTGACGTAACGAAGAGTCTGCCAATACTTCATGCTGTTCAAATATTTGCAACGCTTGCGAACGAGACTTTCGAGCTCGGCTTACAGTTTGTACACTCAGTTTGCATACAATTTAATTCACACAAGTTAAATCAAGCATTTTGCGAAATTTTGTAAATTTTAGTATATTTAATTTTTTTAAGGTTTTTATAATATTTACATAATATTTTTCACATATTAAATATTTTATTTTTTTACGTAAAATATATCATGCAAAATTTCTTTTGAATTTTAAATATATGAATTTTCCTACACACGAGATATTCGTATATTGCGCATTTTTGTTTCTTTGAAATACTAGAAGTACCTAAATAATATCTAGTCACAGGTTAAATAATAATTTCTTTTCTTTCCTTTTTTTAACGCACAAATAGTTTTACCTTACAAATATTTTCTAAAAATGATAAAGTATCGCTTAATAATTTTTGTATGCTTGTAAAAATGTTGAAAATTAAACTGAGACACGGAAGATCCATCATATGTAGTCAAGCACCGAAAAATCATCACGTGTGTTAAGGGTTAAAGAAGTTTATAGCATATAACAGAAGTTTATAGTATTCGAGAGAGATATAATATTCTTGCTACACGTATAAATTTTGGCAAACTTGCTCGTAAACATTCTCATTTTACGCCGTATTTGTCAAACACAGCGCTGGTGACTATATGACACGATATTAATATATGCAGGAAGTTTCTTCAAATCGAAACATAAATTTTGCTCAAACGTGTACATTCTCGTATATTCTAAATGCGATAGATCAGAGGCGCGGTAGACGAAAACTATCCGGTCTTCCGCGCTAAATCATCTCCGGCGCAAGAGACGTCGTGAAGCTGAACTCTCTTAAATCCGTCTTATCCCGTGAATTATGGTCGCACGACAATGGCCGTCGCGTGAAATTCTCTCGGAACACGCCTAACTTGAATCCGAAGGCGTCCAGACGAAAAATGAAGTACAGATCACATGTAATAATCTATAATAATAAGTGTGTGTATGTGTCTGTTATTCTTTTCTTACAGAATCAATCATTGAATTAATAGTAAAGTCTTTATCGAACAAGAAATCAACATTTTTTAGATGAAAATGTTAATAGTTTTTGCATCACAAACCGCATGTTAAAAATTAGTTTTTTGAAAACGCTTGAAGAACGGAACGACTTTAATCTTTATATAATTTTAATTAAATTTTTATTTTAATTAAAAAATTGTGAATTCTCTCTGGGTTTTTATCGATAAAATTCAAGTTGAGAGAGAGAGAGAGAGAGAGAGAGAGAGAGAGAGAGAGAGAGAGAGAATGTTAATACCTGCCATCAACCTAATCTTGTTCATCTTGTAGAAATGTGACGCCCTGTATATTCGGTGTTTTTATTCAGTTTATGGAGTTTTATTTCATCAGAGTACCGAGTTGAAAAGTATGTAAAAATTCCACAGTCTTGTATTTCTATTCACGAGAGCCATTGCTATTTTCATAAAGGGTTCCAAGTGGTTTCCGGAGCCGGTGAAAATAACACCGTACCTTTTTCCGGCTACGTGTTGTTTTTTATCCGCTGTTTTTTGTTTCAATATCCATCAAGTTTCATCACTGTAGGGAAAAATACAAAACGCGATAAGTTTACTTGCGAGAGAGAAAAAGATTGCGAACAAAAAATTAAAATGTTTGGTCAAAATTTTTAATTTAAAAAGTCTTCGTGATTAGTTACGTATTACGTTTTCTAATATAATAATTGACCAAAGCATATTCAGATTTGCGAAACACTTCAAGATCGAACGCGCCACCTGAACTTTGACCCCTAGAAAAAGTCGATTCAAGATCACTACTTCAAACATAACTTTACACCTCAAGAACTAAACCGTCTTCAGATGCTGAAAGTTTTGCAATTCATCACTTTCTCTTAATCAAATAGTGTGATTCTCCATCATCCTCTCGATCGAATGTCTCCATAACTTTGAGATCTCGAGTGGTTTCGTCGAGTTTTCCTAAGCTCGAACAAATAAGCATTCTAAAGGGAGTATCAGACTACGGGTTGACGATTACGATTGACGGTTGCCCGGTTCTATTTCAACCAATTAGGGTGGACTCGGTACATGCTACATCGTGATTGGTTGAAGTAGAACCGGGCAATCGTAATCATCAATCTGTAGTCTGATACAGGCATAAAGGAGCGACCCCTTTGATCACATTGCTATTAACCACATAGCTACTCACAGTGACCGATGCTAAGAATTTTTTCATTGGACAAGCGTGAGTAGTGTGAATGTCTTTGCAATCGCAACGTGATCAAACAAGTTCCACCTACATTTTAATAATTCTCGTAACTTTCAAATTCCAATCTCTGTAGCTTATAGATTTCGATCGAACGTTTTTACATCTTACACAAATGTTGACCGAATGTCTCGATGATTTTTGGGATTCTTTTCACAAAAGCATTTTTGAAGTCTCCGTGTTTTGAGCGTGTTTACGTTCATCGACGTGTTTACGTAATTGATAGCAGGTGGCGAACGACGGAAGGTGGTTGGCCCATGCAGACAACCACGAAGAATACGACTGCGGCGTCGGCGGCGGCGTCGTTGCCGTCGTCGTCGTGGTCGTCGTCGTTGTTGTTGTCGTTGTCGGCCTACGTCTGCGACAGTCGCTATAAATAATTGGGGGAATCCCGAGGTGCTAGAAGAGATATCGGCGCTCAAGAAAGCACGCCCGCCAAAGTATTCGCTGCTGCTACGGAGATGTCATGTCGTCAACGAAGTTGCGATATGGTTAACATTACATTGCAATCTAATAATTTGCCATTTCAACATTATTGTTAATAATCATAAATAATCAGAATTATTATAATTAACCCTTACCGTACTAATATGGGTAACTAGTGACCGAGCGATCCCTGTTTGTGCAAGTTTCTCGCAAGCTCGGTCAACCCGGTGTTTGTTATTGCCGCGTAAAAAAAGTTTGTGATGGAGGGGATTTGTGCGCGGTGGTGCGACCCCGGCCGTCAATCTGCCTATGACTGACGTGCAGTTTAAGGCGACGTGAGGCACTAGTGACTCTTGTGAGTATACGATGTTAGCTTTTTTGTGAAAATAAAATTTGTGTCAAAATCATTATAAGTATTCTATTTTCACTCTAAATTAATGTCTGAATGTTTGCTTTCATTAAAAATTTTTTTTCTAAAAAAATTATTTTTTAGACAAAATAGATAAAACTGAAGAGGCGAGTCACGCTTTTCTTTACATATTTATCTAAATGTGTATTAAAATTTACATTTTTTAAATGAAAAAATACATTATTTTACAACAAAATGCGTATTTTAACTCGATTTTTTCTATATATTTCTTATTGAAAATTACTCATATTTATGTGTTCAAATAATTCAACTTTTTGTAGAATTCGAAGTTCTAGTATTTTTTTTTCATAACTTTATATCTAAACTACAAAACTCTAGAGTAATTTTTTTTATATTTATTTAATATGAAAAGTTATAATTTTTTAAATCAAATGCCATTTTTTTCCAACTTATGAGTCTTTCGGTAATTATAAATTATACATTTTATTATTTTCCACAATGAAGAGTCAATATTTATTCTAGAAAGTTGAAAGTATGTTGGTGAATTTTTAGAGATTTTTTTAATTATTTTGAAGAGGTGAAAAAACGAAGAAATTCTAGTGACCCTTGATAGTATGAATGAGGCACCAAATTGTAGATGGTACGGTAAGGGTTAATAAAAAAAATTATGTATATTATATTTAAATAGTTAGAAGTCATGTATTAAAATAATTTAATAAGTGAAAAAAATTATAACATTTTAACACCAAAAAGAAAGATATTTATACGTACATTATAGATTTGGAGGACTTGTTTTGTTAAATATAGATAGTTGATAATTAATAGATTTTCCGGCACCGAGAGCTGTCACTTTTTTTATAGTAAAAGATGGACTTAATTAATTTTTCTTTTATTATCATATATTGTGGTAAGCCACTTGCGTATTTCTGTCAATTTTCTCGTTCTCTCTCTGTCTCTCTACTAATCGATATCTGATAATTAAACAAGGTTGAGCTCTTATTATCCAAACGCTGAATCGAGATGCAATTGGGTTAGCCACATTACACACAAAGCTTGAAAGCTCGATTGTTTATTCGCTCGTGAGGGTGTTCGCCCTATCGACCGATCGAAGAGCGACACGATGACGGACGTTGCAACGATCCTGGCTTTTCTATAGTCGTAGTCTTCGACAACGATATACAGAAGCAAGACGACCCAGATCACTCGGAGTAAGATGCCACAGAGGAGATAGTCACCCTTCTTCCCTATCACATGTCTCAGCGACAGGCACTATTATCTTTAACGATTTATACAGCTGTCGCTGCTGCGTCCGTTGATGGGATTCCTCGGATTCGCGTCTCTCTTCATCTCCTTTTCGCTGTGGTTTGCGCTGATGGAGTGCTAGTTTCTGGAAACTGATGAAAACATCTTTGCTTGTTCTGTTCTCCTTTAGTTAGAAATATTCTCTTTGACACTCCATCTCCGTTCAGTGCCCTAGTCTAGTTCTTGCTTAGCGTTTGCACTCGAAATTCCTGTTTCAGCTTTAATTAAAGTTACTAAAGCTTAACTTGTTTATTTAATTTTTATATTATATTCTTAGAATTTATTGATCGTCAGCTGCCTTGTTTAAGATATTTTAGTCGAGTATATTTAATTAGAAGTTGTATTATTATTAATACCATTTTATTATTAACAAAATAATAATTTTTTTAAGACATAAAAATTTTTATAATAATAACTTTTATTGTGTTAATATCTTATTACAAATTATTAAATTTTATATTAGTATCTTATT